CCCTTCTGTGGGTTTGACCACCCCCATGCGTTTGAACCCCTCCTTGGATTTGACCCCCTCCATATGGGTCTGAGCCCCTCTATGGGTTTGTCCCCCCCAACAGGGGTCTGAGCTACTCAGTGAGCTGGAGTCAGCCTCCCCTGGGTCTTAACCCTTCTATGAATTTGGAACTGCCCCCTCCTGTGGGTCTGAGCCCCTCTGTGGGTTTGACCCCCCCAAATAGGTCTGTACCACGCTGAGTGCCCCCATGGGTCTGAGCTCCTCTGGCCCCTCCAGTGCTCTGAGTCTTTCTGCAGCTCTGAGCCCTCCTTGCACAGCCCCCCCCCCCTGGGTCTGAGCCCCGCTTCCCCCCCCCCCCCCCCCATGGGTCTGAGCCCCTCTAATGCGCCTGAGCCCCCCTCAAAAGAGTCTGAGCCCCCTTTACCGCTCCACTGATCTGAGCCACAATGTGGGTCCAAGCCTCCCCCCTCCACCCTGTGGGGCTGAACCCCTCTTGGCCCCATGGGTTTGAGCCCCTTTGGGTGTGTGATACCCCCCCCCACGCCGGTCCCTGTGGCTTTGATCTCCAGGGTGGGCATCACGTTTGGGGACCAACAGTGTCCCATGGGGACATGGCAACCCCTGGGGCTGTGCGTGACCATTGTGGCATTTGGCGACTGTGGTGCTGCTGTGGGCAAGGTGTTTCCCAGCCCAGGAAATCACAGCGAGGATGAGTATGGCAGGGAGGAAGGTCAGGGAAGGCACTGGGAGCAGTGCCCTGGGTTGAGCTGAGGTCTCTCCACCAGCTGCGCAGGGAAGGGGCGACACGGGAGCCACGCAGCGAGGACAGGGTTAAGGACAGGTTCATCCCCAGCGTGGGACGAGGTGACCTTGCTTTTGGAGAGACTGGCTGTGGCCGAAAGCTAGTGCTGGCGGGCGGCTTTTCTTCCCCTTGCAGTTCACATCCAGACCTCCCGGGCTCTCATGGTGATTTCTCTCCTCCTGGGATTTTTTGGCATCATTGTGAGCGTGGTGGGCATGAAATGCACCAAAGTTGGTGAAGAGGATCCCGTTACCAAGAGCCGCATCGCTGTTGCCGGTGGTGTCCTCTTCGTCCTCTCTGGTAAGGCCCTTGCACCTCTCCGATGTAGACGACCTCAAACACCTTTTAAAAGCTGTTTGGTGGACGAAAGGGTGAGGAACTGGTTTGGTGATGGGCTGGGTGTTGTTCAACGTTTGACATCCAGGTCTGTGCACGTTGGCTGCCGTGTCCTTGTATGCAACACAGGTGACCCAGGAGTTCTTCAGCAAGAGCACTGTCCCCATCAACGCCAGGTGAGAGCCCGGCTCGGGGATGTTCTTTATCTGAATCCCGGCTAGTCCCTGCGCTTCCTACAGGACCTTCCCTTGCCGGTTTTGGCAACGTGCGGGGTCGCGGGCAGATGCGCTGGGCGGCTGGGATGGGACCTGTGCTACCCCACAGCTGCCGTGTTGCAGAAGATCTCCCCAACGCTACAGTTTTAGTCGGTACCACCAAAGACTTTGCGCTGGGACAGAGTAAGAGCACTCACGTGGAGTTTCAGCCCAGAGGAGATTAAAGCACAGGCAAACGTAGCAGCTGGATCTGGCCAAGGTGGAAGATTGGGATGGCCAAAGAGAAGGGGAACCAACATCTTCCTCGACGTCGCGTGTGGCCTCGTCAGGGCTTCGAGCACCCTTGTGCCCGTCTCAGTTTGCAGCTCTGCTTTTTCTGTTCCCCCCCCCAATGCTCCCGTCTGTTTATCGCCACAGGTACGAATTTGGCT